CCAGCCAAGATCCACTTCAAGAAACACTTGGGTAAGGGAGTTGATTTGCATAAATTTGCATAAATTTACATAACAATGAGCCTCTGGGTCATCTTCAGAAACAATAGGATGAGAATTCCTGTTAATATCCATGTTTCCCCTGGATTTATAGTTTATGAATGCAGTGAAATATCAATTTGTGGGGAGGAATATCCTTGTTTTCCACTCCCAGGAGTTGTTCCGATTGGGAAAACTGGGAAAAATTGGGGAAAGAATGGAAAAAATGGGAAAAACTGGAAAAAAATGGGGAAAACTGGGGAAAAATAGGAAATCCAAACAAAAATGCCTGGAATATTTTTTCCTTGCAGGTCGACTGAAGGCAGAGCTGGGTGAGTAAAAAACATGGGATTGTGGAAATTCCTGGGATTTGGGGGTTAATTGGGATTTTTGGGAGATCCAAAGGGTTTTCCCAGTCCAGGGAGGATCAAATTCCACCAAAAAACCTGGAATGCAGCGATGTCTGTTGTTTTTCCATAGATTTCTGGGAAGCCAGGAGCCACTCAGGTGAGCTGGAAAAATGGGAATGTGCCTTGGAAGGCAGGAATGGAGAAGGGATGGGGATGTTGGGAATGGTGGGAAAAGGGAATCCCGGAAGGTGTCCAAGGCTGGGATGGGATCGGGATGCAATTCCCGAGAGGATGGATGGGAAGAGGGAAAGGGATTTGTGTCCTGGGAAATCCCAGGATGGGAGAGATCCGGGGGGGGCTTTGGGGGCCTTTCCAACCTCAGCTACTCGGGGATCCAGGGATTTGGGAATTCTGGGACTTGGAGATTTGGGAATTCAGGGATTCACGGACTCCATGGCTCCCTCTCCTCCTGCTGCCCCGCAGTTCCCGTGGCCTGGAATGCCCTGGAGCGGATCCTGGAGCTCCCGGGCGGGGAGGGCGAGGCGGCCGCTCCCCCATTCCCGGTGCGCGTGGGGCGGGAAGGCTTTGGAAGCGGGAAGCACTACTGGGAGCTGGAGCTGGGCCGGGAGCAGGACTGGGCGCTGGGAGTGCTGCGGGAAAAGGCGGGCTGCGAGGCCCGGCCCGTTCCCAGCCGGGATTCCTGGGCTCTGCGCCGGTCCCAGGGGGAGCTGTTCCCCAGCGCCGGGGCCCGCGGGCTCGGGAAGCTCCGCTGGAGCGGCTCCGTCCTCGGCGTCTGCCTGGACCTGGACTGGGAGTGCCTGGAATTCTACGACGTGGAGACCGCGGAGCTCCTGGAGAGGCTGGGTCTGAGCACCACGGGGAATTCCCAGGGAATGTTCTTCCCGTTTGTGTCCCAGGGGGAAGGGATCAGGATCCGCCCGGTGCCGATCCCGGTCCCGCTAAAGGGACTTTGAGCAGGGATTGGGGAAAGGGGGGAGAAAATGATGGAAATGGGAATGGGAAGGAACGTGAGGATGTGGGAGGGAAAAAAGAGGGAAAGGAGGGGGCAAGGGACTGGTTTTCCCTGGAAAAACCCGTCTGGGACTGGCTTTTCCTGGGAAAAAAAAGAAATGGAATAAAAGGTTTTCGAAGGAAAATGTTGTTTTGGGAATGCTTAGGACGTGTGGGCCCCTTGGGGAATTCCTGGCAGGAAAAGGACGGGAAGGAGAGGTTATTTGGTCCCCAAATGTGCTGGAATTTGGGTGGGAAGAGCCTGGAGCAGGAGCTTGATCCCAACTCCATCAGGTGTAACAAACAAGGGGGGTGGGAGTTCCCTTGGATGCAGTTCCCAGCAGAATCTCTGGATCTGGGATTCCCTTGGGAATTTTGGGATTTCCTGCTTTCCATCCTCTTCTCCAGAGGAGAAAATAATTAGGATAGAAAACAGAAAAAAAATTGGAAAACTTTAATTTTTAATTCAATTTATTATTTAAGAAATTATTTTACATTATGATCTCCTCTACAAACTTATTAATTATCGCCAATTATAAATATGATAATCTATTGATATTTAAATAATTTATTATTTTAATTATTAACCCCCCACGGAGCGAATTCCCAATCCCTTTCCGTCGGAGCCGGGGCTGAAAAACGGGAAGAGATTCCCGGAAAACCTCAAGGGAAGCGACGCCAGGAGACTCTTCCCTTCCACGTCGAAGAAGGAGAGGCTGTGGGATTCCTGATCCAGGAAAACCCCCAGCACAGGGCAGGGCCCGGAATTCCAGCCCCCGGGAATGCTGAATTCCCCCCGGGAATAGCCGAGGCTGAGAACCTGCCCCCGCTCCCGCGGCAGCGCCATCCCGTCCTTCCGCAGGGAATCCCGGACTTCCTCAGCCAGCACCCCCAGCTCCCAGCCGGAGCCGTCCCCAACTTCCACTTCCCAGTAGTGCTTCCCTTGGGAAAAGGATTCCTGGGCCAGGACCACGGGTTTGGGGTGGAGCTGCTCGGAGCAGGAAAGGACCCGGGATCGGTCCCGGAGGGAGAGCTCGGGATGTTTGCAGAGCTCGTCCAGGGTCAGCGGGACTGGGAAAGGGGGAGAGCCCAGGATTTACAGGGAATCAGGGAAAAGCAGTTATGGAAAGGGATAGGAAATGGGAGAAA